TTTGTGTCGAGTACTTACGATAGTTTTCAATCGTCAGCGTTTTTCAAAAACAAGATGGATGGCACTGTCATTCGGATGAAGCTTAAAAAATATAGTCCGTTTCAATATGATTTTCTATGTTATTCTTTTTCTTTTTTATAAAAATGTTAGATACCTCTTTCACTGGGATTTTCTCCTGTATCGTGAAGACTTTCTACATGCATAAATTGTACATTAATATACATATATATAACATTATTAATAAAATATCAAATAAAATTACTACAGTTCGAGGATTTCCGTCCCAATATGTATATCCTCTATTGCAATATTATTTTTCGTTTTTTTTTTACTCAATACATAACATAATTTATACTAAAGGAATATTGTACTACAAATAGTTACCACGCACCTACGAATTATTTAAGTAAAATATAACCACCCGTGAATAATAAAATATGATAAAGGAGTGTGCGAGTATGCATTCTATATCAATTTCCAATAACGGTGGCCATTAATTTCGCGATATTTCCAGAACATTTCACTCCCTCCTTACGCGTCGAAAACTGTTATTTATAATAACGCATGCGCACCAGGGAGGCGTCATATAACTCATAATTAAGTAGATCATAGATACTTATAGATTTGTCATCAAATTCCGGAACACAAAAAAAGCTTAAGTAGAATTAGGGGTCTACCAACCATATTGACTCGCACTACCATCGATCACTACAGATCGTTTCCTAGATAGGTATGATAAGTCACATTTCGTTCTGTGATGAAAAGAAACCAAAGAACTTACTGACATCCTGCTGGTGCTTAGTAATATACTAAAGTTACAGCCTATATACGATCCGCAGCTGGGCATAAGGCTCCTCTTACTTCTGAGATGGCTTTAGGGAAAGAAAGTGTCCGCGGGTATTGGTGGGGTTTGAACCAGGACTGTTTGCGTATTGTGAAATTTACGGCGTGCTACCACGGCTTTTAAGTAATGTATTAAATGATAATAATAATTTTTAATTTCAAAAGAAGGGTAGAGCCAATGTTATGACAGCAGCACGAATGGGTCGGCTCGACCGGGATAGGACCACGCTCTCACAGAATACCAGCGGTAAATAGAGGCTTAATGCTGCTGTGTTTCGGTGTTACGGTCTAAAGTCTAAAACAGTATAAGATCTACAATAAATATTTTATTCCTCAGCGGTGACGTATCTGTATACTTCTATTGAAATCGGATTCAGGTGTCCATGGCATGCAATAGCCCTTACCAAGAGGTAGTATTAGTTTCATAAAAATAAAATTTTCTCAATCGCGGAGAGTTTTAAGTGTCTGTGGGCCACATCATCCACTAAACGTCACGTGGACTTTGTAATCATCCGCCACAGTAATGCTGGTATACTCACGTTGTTTTCCTTCATCGCTGAACTTGTAGATAAAATAGAAATTTAAAAATCTCCTTAACAATTTTACTGATGTTCGAATTGGGAATAAACTTGGCAACTATTGTGTTATTAATTTAATTTGATCAATTAATTTAAGTTGATTAATTTTTATACGTGGTAGAGCCACGCTGCAGCTATATTAGTAGTATAGTTGTAGCACGGATAGGTCGGCTCGACCGGGGAAGGACCACGCTCTCACAGAATACCAGCGTAAAATAGCAGATTAACACTGCTGTGTTTCGTATGGTGAGTGTAGAGAACCGAAGACCCTTTTTACTGGAAAAGAGGCATTCTATCTTAGTCCTCACGGGTGACAACGCATCTGCATTTTGATTCGCAAACGAGGATAGATGTAGATGTCTATGAGCCACAGCAACCACAGTCCAATGTGTGCTCGTTTGTCGCCCTATACTATAAAAAAAAAACTCTGTCTCTAAGTTGCGAGGCTCAGAAGAAAATAAATAGTATTTAATCTCTATCTTTAATGGAAAGTATTTATGTATGCCGTCTAAATTACAATGCTTCCCTTTGTCCTTAATCATTTTATATTAACGGTAATTGATTTGCATTCTAAATAGAACGAATGTCTTTAACAATAAGGTATAATTTTCGTTATCATTTAAGCAAGATTTCGTTGTTACGTACATTTTAGTCATTGTTCGCGAGATGTCATTCGGAAACGTCGCCCTTTGTAAATGAACCATTGGGCGGAAGCTGACTGCTTTGGGAAATTGTTTGTATGACTCATTGAATGACTGAATGATATTAGAATTATTATTAGAGTTTGAACACCAGCGGGGTACGTTTTCTTACGAATTAATACTTTGTGTTAGAAAATAATCTCAAAAATGCTCAAAACTATTTATTGAGATTTAACGACTATACGTGTAAATATTCATAGAACGCTTTTGAGGTAAATACAATAAATCACCACAATAAAAGAAGTATGCAACACTGCCCATCAAGACGAAGATACAGGGCAACCTCTCTGCCACATAACCTTCTTTGCTTGTACTAAAATAATGTACACGACGGACATGATAACGACAGCGATTAAGGCTTGTAGAATGATCGATTCTAGTTGCCTGCGCAGCAGTTTACACTTCTTGAACGAGTAAGTGGAGTTTTAACACTTACGTAACTTTCTACCCTCACTCTTTACACTTGTTTAACCCCCGCAAAATATGCCAGGAACAGAAGAACCTCATGTAGGTCATATAGGTACGGTAGCGTTTGCAATGTGTACACCACTTATATACTTTAAATAAAGTAGCGGCTTAGATACGCTCTGCTGGCTACCTACTATCATTGTATATTAGGATTCTGTTATACACCTGTACTTCGCTTGACTTCACCCGTCCGATTTATTTAATTTCTTTTACATGCACACTTTCGCACGATTTTTTCTTTCACAGTTCTTATGGTAGATTGTGTGAAATAGCTATGCTAGACTCAAATTCAAGAAATCTCATTTACGATTATAGCACAAGAATAAGCGAGGTCGAGGTTAACCATGAACATAAATTACCTAACATAAATTAATGTTAAACAAAGGTATAACGTGTTAGAGCCACGCTGCAGGGTCGGCTCGACTACGGTAGAATCACGCAAGTGTGAAACAGCAGAATGGTAATGCTGTGTTTCGTATGGTGAATGAGGAGAAGCGGAGACCCTTTTAATATCGAGTTATTCTATCTAAGTCCACATGTGTGATAGCGCTACTTTATTTTGATTATTAATTGATGATCGACGTAGATATCTATGACCTATATCATCCACTTACCACCAGGTGCACTATTTGCCCGTTTGTCACACATATTCTGTAAAAAGAAACCTAGTTATAATTTTTATATGATTAAAAATTACATTATTCGCGTTAGGAATTTCTACTGGATCACAGAGTCTTTTTATATTTTTATTTAATTTATTTACTTAACATAATTATTAAAATTTACACTATTAAAGTTTTACAGTCTGCCAAACTGCTCAGCAGTTTGTAGGCAGAAGAAAAATGCTCTCTTACTATCTAACATGCAAACAAATCTTAATACAAATATACACTCAAATATAACAAATCAATAAAATCAATATATACATATATACATACACAGATACACATCAATACATAATAACTACGGCTTATATTTTAGTTGGATCATCACGATACATATGTCAATTTTTTACTATTTATTAGTATAAAAGTGTTTTAACTAATTTTAAACTGTACTTTTGTTTTAAGCGTAAGGCTTTCTTCTGGCAAATGGCACGAACATCTAGTTTCGAAAAATATGTTTTTTATACAATCAATAAGTCAGTCTAAATCAGTAGTTGTCTTTTAAGATAAATTTTCTTAAAAGTTATAAATTATGATTTTTCTTGTAATGAATAACTGACATAACATTGTCTGACTTGCGAACCCCCAAAGCCTTGAACCGTGAAGGAAAAATTACCCCGTTGCGGCATATCGCACTGGGGTCGGGGTAGCAGGGTGCATATCCGGCTAATGACACCGGATAAACGACGTCACATCCGGTTAGCTTTGTGCCCAATCGTACAATTTCCCCGGCAGTGTAAACTTTAGACAAGTTAAATGGGAGTGATGTTTACTCGGCTCTGCCAGGTTAATTCCTTTTGTAACGATGCTTCGCTCGATTATAAATAATTTGGACAGTGTGCATCAGAACTCTAGCGGGAATTGAGGGCGAGGAAACGGGTTTTGATTTTTGATACTTTATTCAGTTTGGTGGAGTGATTTCTTTTTTATGGTTTAGACTTATTTATTTATTAAAGCCTATCAAAAGTTTGCTGAACAAATTTCTCCCCCATATAGAGGGGATATTTGCCATAGCTGCTTCGCTAGGCAATCACAGTATTTTTTTTTATTATTTTGCCTTGTTATCAGTGTATGTGTTGTCTATCTTACAACACTGACGGAATGATTTGGATTAGTGTATTCTATTACGTCATAGAACTATTAGGCAAAAACGTTTTCTGCCGACTTCCAAAAAGGAAAATGCAATTCGACTGTATGTTATTTTTAATGTGTGTTACCTCATAACTTTTTACTGGGTGAACCAATTTCAATGATTCTTTTTTTATTTGAAAGCTGATACTTCTCCTGTGGTCCCGTATGAATTGATTTAGGTGATTGATTAAGGTCAAACCAATAGTTTAATTATATTATAGTTATTGAGTTATTAAGAATAACTCAATAACTATAATATAATTATATTGAAGTCGGCTGTACAAAATTTTTAATTTTTAATTATATTAAAAATACATTTCATCTGGGTCATCGGTTGCTTAGGCCTGTTAACGAAACTGTGCCCATTTTTTTTTGAGGTTGGTTACATGTGTCCATAGACTGCAGTAGCCACTTACCATCAAGTAACCTGTTAGTTTGTTTATCAGTTTATTTATTTATTTAACAATTTTAAGAGAACCACTAACTATTAAAATTTTGGTGAATTTATAAAGCGAACTAAGAGCTAATAACAGGTCCGTATAGTTTAGACTTCCCACATATCGAAATAATTTTGTTTTCAAAAATCTAATATGTCATCTTTATTTGTGTTATAGGAACTTCTGGAAAAGCGTATAAAGCAGCTGGAAGCTCAGTTAGAGGAGGAGAAACGACGAACTCAACGGGAACGAATGGCTGTCACCAAACTGCAGAATAAGCTGATTAAGGTAAGCATAGAATTTTAGTAAAAACAAAGTGTTTACGTATTACAGACTTGTTTATCGATTCGCTACATTAGAGAGACAATATGTTTATTTAGCCGTGGTAGCTCAGATGGATAGCGCTCGCGGTAAATTTCACAGTACGCGAGCAACCCGAGTTCGATCTCGGCGGCACTAATGAAATTGTTAATTGCAATTTTAAGTGCCCATTTACCACGTGCTCGGTGGTGAAGAATAACATCGAGAGGTAACCTGCATGTCTGAGGAATAAGAAAAAAAAAGTATTTCGAAGACATGTGAAGTTCGCCAACACGCATTGGGGCAGCGCGGCGGACATTTTCTTGCCCTAAAACCCTCTCAGAAAGGAGAGGAGGCCTGTGCCCAGCAGTGGGACGCATATAGGCTGTAAATTTTTGACGGCTCCGTGGCGCAGTGGCTTAGCAATGAGTTCTTGCGCTGGGAGCCGCGGGTTCGAATCCCGCACGGAACAAGTATTTGTATGGCCTACAAATAATTGTTCCGGGTCTGGATGTTTGTCCTCGTGCAATTTATGTTTGTAAACTGCCTCCACGACACAGGAGAAATCCTAGTGTGGGGATAACGTTTATTTAAAAAAAAAAAACGTTAACTTTTAATTTTTTATATTTATCTATGCTGGTGGGAACGACATTCGTTATCAGATGATTACTCTGCAAGTCACTGCTAAATCTACCATCATTAGTGGTAGAGGCACGCTGTAACATTTTAAATCCACAGTACAAATAGGAAAACAAGGTCAAACTGAATTATTATCACCTGCATCAGAATACCTTTACAGAATAATAATCTCTAACAAATATAATTGTTTGCTTCGTACGGTGACGAAAGTGGAGACCCTTTTTACTGGTAACGAGGTATTCCATCTTGGCAGATTCATAATTTATGATAGCCGTTCCGGGTTAGCATGGTACGGATCTACTAATTTTTTTTTATATAAGATAGGGTGACAAACGAGCACACAGTCCACCTGATGGTAAGTAGTTGCTGGGTCACAGCAATAGACTTCTACATCTATCCACAATAAAAAATCAAAATGCAGACACGTTCTCAGCTTTGAGGACTAAGATGGAATGCCTCTTTTCCAGTAAAAAGAGTCCCCGGTTCTCTACACTCAACATACGAAACACAGCAGCTTTATGCTACTATTTTACGCTGGTTTTCTGTGAGAGCGTAGTTTACGGGGAAATAGGCATTTCGCCGTAAAAACGAGGGTTTCATGCCGTGGCAAAAATACTAGGATATTCAAAATCTGGAAACTAACACATATTTTACATAAATGAAGAAAGGCGCGCGGGAGTGTTTAGACCACACGGCAGTCATTAGTCGATTTTTTATGCTTCAAAACCTAATTACCAAAGACAAAATCCACATCTACGGTTTAATTACAGTAGACGGAAATCTTTAATAAAGACAGTCTCTATAGTTAAGTTACGTTTGTATCTCAAACTCAATTTGGCTGTATTTAGAATTCGCGATGAACTTGTTTTAATCAAAAGCTGAAGGATTGTACGGGAGATTGATTGAAAATCATTTACCTTTTCAAATCTGACGGATTATCCGGGCCCCATTGTTTAATATTACCTCTCGAATTGAACAGATACGTTCGGAGTTTGTGTTGCTATGGATACCGTCAGGTATGATTTAAATCTATTATCTATAATACAATATATTAATAAGTCAAGCGAAAAATTTCTACCCCTTCTTAAGCATATTGAACACACAGAGGAGTGTAAGAATTGGCATAGTTAAAGTTTATATGGTCAAATACATAAGAATAGTCTGTCGTTTGCCGGTATTTATACAAGAAATATCAAACACACAAAAAGAAAAAGAAATTAAAGTGCTTTACCGGAAATCTCGAGTCTGTGGTCAAAAAGACATACATACTCCGAGATTTTCGGTAAAACATTTTTATATGTCATACTATCAAATAATTACTGATAAATTGATTGAATGGACAGTGAATTTTTATGTGCTTTCAAATGTTCCTTTTTCAAATCTGTGGAGTGGCTATCGTAAGTTTATTTTATATTTTGTGTATTAGGTATTTATGTTTTATAGGTTTATGTGCAATTGAAAATGAAATACAGCCTGTACGGTCGAATACGGTCGAATTTCGACCACCAGACATCCACTAGTTCTGTTAAATCTCGTCAAGTATTGTCAATTCTTTATCAGTTTTGGATTAAGTAATAATATTACACTTTAAAATAAGATCTAAAATTACACGCATTGATTATGAACTGTGATGATCTTAGTGGGATTAGAAGGTTCTTAATACGTCTGCAACATTTCAGATCACGCAGACGTCCGACATGAACGAAAACTTATTTACACAAAATTCAAGCTAATAAAAACGTGTTAAAAGCAAAGTAATTGCATCATGAGAGGGTTATGTAGCAGATAGTTTGCCGCGCTGCTCCAATGCTTGTTGGGTTTTAAAAATGTCTTTGAAACATTTTCTACCGACTTCAAAAAGGAGCCGATACTCAATTCGACTGTATGTTTTTTTATGTGTGTTACCTCATAACTTTCTACTGGGTGAACCGATTTTGATGATTCTTTTTTTATTTGAAAGCTGGTGCTTCACATGTGGTCCCATATAAATTTGATCAAGGTCCGACCAATAGTTTTTGAGTTATTCTTAATAATTTATATTGAAGTCGGTTGTACAAAATTTTTAATTTTAAATTATATTGTTTTAACCATGCAGATCTTGATGCTTACATCGTCGTCGTTCGCGTTGTAAATCAGCACTTAAATGGCAAATAACAAACACTTTAGTAGCAGCAGGAACCGAACTCAGGTTGTTTTTTTTATATATAAGTAGAGAAATGCACAATTACAACAACTGGGGGAATTGCCGGTTTTTAAACAGAAATGAGCTCGTGCGCTTTGAAATGTTAAAGTTAGCGCCTTTTTATATTTATAATAAATATAATCACATATTAACGTGAAGTCCTTGGTACAGACTATTCAATACAAACATAAAAGTGAGTTCAATTAAGAAGGGAATCATAGCGTGCAGTATTGAACATGATAGAATTTTTAATCTCATATCTAGTAAAAAAGGAATAATTGTGGGAGTAACGACAAATATTTGATTCAGACTTCGACCCTCCTCACCGTCTGGGCTGGAGGTACGTCTGCAGGGAATTTAACGAGTTTTGATTGCTTGCATCAAATTGATTGGGCGTCTTTTTATTGCGTTGCGTTCTTCTAGCGTTTGTGTTTAAAACGGGTTTTCATATAACTTCCAGTATTCCTGTGGGGGTCTGCAAGTTGAGTAATTAGTAATTATTTCAAACAGTACAAATTTGGTTAGGGACTATATTTGTTTTTATTTTCCCCTTGTTTGAGTTGCATACTGAATTCGCCATGAAAACACATTTACCGCATTGTTATTAAAATGTATCTAGCTCTTAAAACTAATATGTAATAGTATGTATTGTCTGTGGTTCACATTAACTAGGTTCACACTAACAGGTAAAAAAAACGAAGTACAGCATTGAGGTGCAATTTTACTCTGGTATTTTGTGAGAACGTAATCCTTCACCGGCCGAGCTGATCTATTCGTGCTACAACTATAATATAGCTACAGCGTAGTTCTACCACATATCATAAGTGCTCTCTAATGTTAAAAGTATAATTTAAATTTAAACATTTTGTACAGCCGACTTCAATATAAGTTATTTAAGTATAACTCAAAAACTATTGGTCTGACCTTGATCAAATTTATATGGGACCACACGAGAACTATTAGCTTTCATATAAAAAAAGAATTATCGAAATCGGTTCAACCAGTACAAAGTTATGAGGTAACACACATAAAAAAAAACATGCAGTCCAATTGAGTACCGTCTCCTTTTTGGAAGTCGACAGAAAATAAAGGAACAGATATACGATAAATTATGAAAACAGTTTACTAGGTGGTACTGTTTTCTTAATTTGGCTGCAACATGGCTCTACCACGTAAAGACTTTCAAATCAATTTACTTTAAATATAAGGATATCCCTGTATCGTTTAATCTACAACAAAAAAAAATTATTAACAAATAAGTAAATATACTACTACTTGATTCATACTATTTGAACTCAAATACAGTTTCGCATTAGCAACTATGAGCTTCGGCAGGGCTTAGTAACCCGGGTGGATCGCCTCGGGGTCCGTCTCGGTAAACAGAACGAAGCTGTCCGTCCGCGAATTCGTTTGAGTTGCAGCTCGGACGGTACGCGTATCTTACTCCGTCTGTATACTGAATTTAAATTGGTATGTAAATTAAAGTAATACTTGTCAGTGAGATTTTATTTTTGTTTAATTGTTATGGATTGCGGATAACACTTAATTACCGACTTGTATGTGAATCAGATCCTACAGATTATGAAGTTTATGAATATATTTAAAAAAATCATATAATACTCAACCAATCATCTTCTGAAGTTGGTGCTAAGATACAGTGTAAATTAAATTACCGATTTTAAAAGGTATTATGTGATTTTTATATTTTATAATTCGAATAAAAATAAACATTTTAGATTTTTGAGTCTAGATGCATTAAAAATAAAGAAAGTAAAATATTGATTCACTGATATCATCATTTGTAATTCTGTCTTAAGTATCAAGAGAACAAAAAATTTTAGTCATTAAGTCCAAGTGAATATAATCACGAATTCACGCTCAGCTTTAGCCTAAAAAGTGGTTAAAACGTATGTATTTATAAAACACAGTATAGCTTAAAGACTCTAGAGAAAAAATAAACTTACGCTATAGCCTTGCTGCTAGTAAGTGGTTGCTGTGGCCGATAGGCACTTTCATCTATCGCCGTTTAAGAATCCAATATACAGATGCATTGACCGGCACCCCTAAGAAGTGAGGAAAAATAGGGAATGCGACGTTATCAATAAAAAAAGGTGAATTTACTACAATCGATATGTTGGTAAACAACTCACCAGTCTTCGTATGAGATTGGTTTATCAAATGTTATTTTTACAGAGTAAGGGTGTCAACGAGCACACTGTCCACCTGATGGTAAGTGGATGCCATGGCTCATGGACCGATCTATTCGTGCTACAACTAAAATCCTCGATTTAGAACTAAAATGTAGATGCGTTTCACCCCTGAGAACTAAGATAGAATGCCTCTTTTCTAGTAAAAAGAGTCTCCGGTTCTCTACACTCACCATACGAAACACAGCACTAAGCTGCAATTTCACACTGGTATTCTGTGAGACCGTGGTCGTTTCTCAGTCGAGCCGACCTATTCATGTTACATCCATAATAAAACTGAAGTATGGCTCAACCGCGAATAAACGTGCTTCATTTTAGAGTCTTAAAAGTAACATTGTTGCGATTTATTATAAATAACTAAAACATGCATTCAGCATCAAAAACCTTTGTATCTAAAATTTAGCTAAGTCGGAAGCGTTCACCAGATAATGGATGTAAACGCTACGTGGTTGTACGTACAAACAACTTTATAATCTAGAAGCGGGTTAATCTTCGAGAGCTAAACTCGCGATACGTGAGTAACGTGAGTGAGACACCGCGGCGAACGGATGAAAGTCCTGAACTTTTCCCCATATATCGTGCGAAACTCACACGACTTTTAACTTAATGCTATGCAGAGCCCCTCTCGCATAGTTTGCGAAGATTTACGCTGTTGCGAAATGATAATTAACGTATTGCGGAATGAGGGGGTATTCGAGACATATTTCTAAGTTACCGTTCAATAATAGGTAGATACCGAACGATAAGAATGTCTAAATTAATACACAATATTTTACTTATTTTGGCAAGATTGAGGCGGTGTTGAACTTTACGGACTTTTTTTGAGATTTTACTACGCGAAAGTCTTGTTATACAACTAATTACTATTTTCCATATCAAACCTATATAATTTAATAGCTTTGGCATTTCGGTTAAGCAAATGGACTCTAGATTTTTGAGATTCATTTTTTTACAACAGACTTGGTTAAGAAATTGACAGTTAAAATTAACTTTTAATTAAAAGTAAAATATGAATAAAATAATTTTATATTTTGAGATGCCACGAAATAATATAATAAAAGCATTAAAGTTCCGACTTGAGAATGTAAAATTAATTTATTAATGTTTAATAACAGCTTGAGATCTATATCTAATCTATAACAAATGTCACTTAGAGATTGAAAATTAACAAAGTAATAAAAAGTAATAAATAATAAACTGTAATGAAGATATTCGCAGTAGAACCAAAGTAACTGACATATCCCAGCAGAACAGTAAGTTTAAGTGATAATGGGCTGGCCATATAGCTCGAAAAACTGACCAATCGATAAGATAGAAAGATGCTCGAGTAGCAGCCTCGTGCTGGTAAGCGAAGCGTAGGGCGACCCTCACTAAACGGAGTGACGACGTGGTAAGAGATGCAGGAAAAGGATGGATGGAAGTGGATAACGACCGCACTCTGTGTCACTTATTGGCGGAGGCCTATGCTTAGCATTGTATGATTATGATGACGTTTCTTAAAAACACAATATTTAATGTCGACCATGTAAATTCGTCAAGGCGTATAAAGTAAAAAGTAAAACCTATTTTTTTATAAATTTCGTAGAACTACATTTAAGTATAACATGTAACATTGTTATGAAATTAATGTATACTGTGTAGTGATTGTATATTTTAAAAGAATTTTATTGACTACCTAAATACACGTTTACCTTTAAGAGGAGAGAAATTAATGTTACGGCGAATCACAAAAAAATGTGTAAGTTTTGCTTTTTACTGGCGGTTGTAACACGTATATAGCTTAGACAATTCACGTTACTCGTATTTATATAGGGATAAGTACGGAAATATATTTGAGGGCTTTCATAATTTATAACACATGCATCGCATTTTCTCAGTTGCATTTAATACAATCATTTTACACAATACAAATGTAGGTAAATATTTACAGTTAACGCAATCGTAGACAGTAATATAAGTGACAGGCGCCTTTCATTACTCCCTTTGATACCGCGACTAGCATCATCCGTAACAAATCGCCAAGGATGGTAACTAATGAATCTATCCCTATACTAATTAACCGAAGAGCTGTGCGGTATGCGCGCGAGACTCAAAGGCGCGTGCGCAGGAATTTGCGTGACCGATCCAATTAGTTGGTCCTTTTAGCCGGATGTTTCGCGTTGCGCACTTAGAATAAGTTGTAAATATTAAACCGCCGTTATGTCCTCGAGTCTTGTGAGTTAATTGAAAGCCTTGGCTCTTACATTAGAGTTCGTTTCGGCATATAACGTAATTCAGAGTATATCGTTATGTAATGTCATAAATGGTGTCACTTTCTTAAATGATTTTAAGTCGTAATGTGTATTTAATAAAATCGGTTTTAGAGATGTGCATTACCATTGCAATTCTCAGTTAATTTCCAGGATGCAATTCCTCACCTAAATGTCTAGCGTGTCTGGTTTGTTTTCATTCTTACGACGACGCACCTGCGTGCATTAATTGCAATATCTGACATGTGCTGTTATCTAATACAATTTATAGTATTCTATTTTTAATTCTTGAGATTATTTTGTCATTGGTTTTCTGTGATTGTGTTGTATTATCCGCGTGTGTGTAAATTAATAATTATTAATTTTTAATTTAGTTATTGTTTTAGGACTAAGAGGGCCAGGATTGTTTCGAGGTGTTAGATTTTTTTAAGATTATTATTTTTAGCCTCTAATAATAATACTTAAAAAAAAAACACTAACGTCTCTTGAATTCGTTCTCAACGATGACAATGCAACCTTTAAATAAACCTTTTTTGAAGCTGGCGGAAGTTGACGCTTACCATATCATGATGAACTGCAAATTACTTCCTTACTCTAATGTCTCAGTCATTTATTATTCTTAATTTACACCATCCAATAATCTCTCCAGAATATGTAGTTTATAATTGTTCAACAAATCTCACCAAATTCAAAACAGCGAAGTGTAGAACAATCGTGAATTTATTATTTTACTTTTTAAATGTCATCTCTTACAGACAAATAAACATTTATGTTGTTTTTTTTTTTCAATTAAAAATATTAAAACAGTAAAAAGGAAAACTAAGTTTTGAGATAGTAATGAAAGTACGTAATTTAATGTAATATATCGATTTCTAAATGACATTGTCAACTACCTAATTATAATCTATATTAGGTACACATTATGTTCAAGTTTGTGAAAATGATTGATTGTTATGTAATCTCTAAATCACAGCCAAACGGTTAAGATCAGATTTGGCATACGTATAAAATATGTCGTAGTTATTTCTATTGCTGTAAAATTAAATTTACTGCCGAACGAAGTGAAATTTACTATGAGCCGTGGGCAGAAACCACTAAAATATAGGCAGGAAGTTGATGCATTAAGCATAGAACTTGCAATAAAGCCGACGTAATCTTAACAGATCTCGGCGATCGGGCGTGGTAATAAACGTAACGCATCCCGACTAATCAAACTTAAGGGATTCAATTATACAGCGCGCCATCAGATGACCCGCACCCCTTATTACAGAGACAAGATCTTTACGTCCTTTCTTCTTGGGATACGCACTAGAGCATAGAATCGCGTTATTTTGATTGGCGTTCAGACGCTATGTTTTCTAAACGATTAAAAAAAAGGAGATGCTCCATTCGACTGTATTCTTTTATGTGTTAACTCAACGTTTTTGTAGGTGAATCGATTTTGATGATTTTTTTTTGTTTAAAAGCTGGTGATTTTCATGTGGTCCAGTAGTTGTGATCAAGGTTGTACCAGTAGTTTCTGAGCTATACTTAATAATTAATATTGAAGTCAGTTGTACAAAATTTTTAAT